TACAACCTGTTTAAATTGACGCCTTCTTACTTAATGCATCTACAACAATGTTCACATTTCCTGGATGATACTTTATATCCAAAGCATAATCCTTGATAAATTTCAACCATCTGCTCTATCTCAAATTTAATTCTTTTTAAAGTAAATATATATTTTAAACTCTTGTGATCTATAAAAACTTTATCCATATAAGTAATGCCTCCTAATTTTTTGTATAAATACAATTGTTGCCAGCTCCAAGTCATATGTTTGATAATTCCTTCATGATTATTTAATTGCATAGAAGCATAAGTAATGTCAGGACAGATCGTACGAGTAGAATCATAGATCCTTTGGTGATTTGTTTTTTCAAAACAGATTGTGCATTTCTAGAGTTGGCTCAGAGAGTCTATTTTACAAGAGTATCATACTGGAGTGATAACATGATATTTTGTTAGGGATAAGATTCTTTCTTTAGTGAAAGAGAATTTCTATTAGCCTAGATTGATATGAGACATGGAGAGGCATGTTCAACAGTACAAAATATCACTTATCCACCATCCGAGGGCAGAATGCAATGTTGTCGTGGTAGTGTGCCACTTCTCTATGATAGCATATTTCATAAATTATCATTGGATGATAGATGTTTCACATATTTTAGCTTTATATTTTAGGGAGATAGTGTTGGAATACATGCTTAGGACTGCTTATTGAGTCTAGGTTTATTTGAATTTAGTTTGTTTCTTAATCTTAGGAGTTAGTTGCTATTTTTTCTTGAATTTTGTTTTTGGTTACTTTCTTGGCTGATTTTTAGGTCTTTTCTTGGAAATTTGTTATTAGCTCCAAGTTTAAAATATTGTAAGGCTACACAAAATGTGTGATTTTGATTTCCCTTCAATCTACAGAAAGATTTTCTCTTCTTTTTCATTTTCAAGAAACCAACAATTTGGTATCAGAGCTCTCTTCTCAAGGGGACCTGTGCGTGAGTTTGAGCGGCAATGGAGATCGAAGCTAGTTTTTCCTCAGTTGCTCCACTAGTGTTTGACGGAGACAACTACCGGATCTGGGCAGTCCGCATGGAGACATACCTGGAAGCTTTGGATCTCTGGAAAGCAGTGGAAGAAGACTAACATTCCTCTTCACTATGACATTCCTCTTCTCCCTGAAAATCCCACCGTAGCACAAATTAAAGCACAAAAGGAGAAGAAGAGAAAGAAGTCCAAGGCAAAAGTTTGTCTGTTTGCTGCAGTTTCCTCTACGATCTTCACTTGTATCATGTCGTTGAAAACGACAAAAGAGATTTGAGATTATCTCTCTGAGTATGAAGGAGATGAAAGAATTCGAGGTATGCATGTGCTAAACTTGGTTCGTGACTTTGAATTGCTAAAGATGAAGGAGAAAGAAATCATAAATGAGTACTCTGACAGACTACTCAACATAGCAAATCGGTCAAATTATTGGATTTTTCTTTGGAAGATTCAAGGATTGTTCAGAAAATCCTCGTAACAGTGTCTGAAGATTTGAGGCTATCATCACCACCTTAGAAAACACGATGAATCTGTCAAAGATTGCTTTGACAGAACTCTTAAGTGCTTTACAAGCACAAGAGCAGAGGTCTTAAGTGCTTTACAAGAACAAGAGCAGAAGCGTGTAATGAGGCAAGAAGGAGCCGTCGAAGGAGCTCTTCCAACCAAGCATCAAGATGATGAAAAGAATAGAAGACCCAAGAACAAGAAGTTTCAAGCTACAAATGGACAAAAGAATGATTACCCTCCATGTCGAAATTGTGGCAAGAAAGATTATTCTCCTTTCAAATGTTGGAGAAGACCAGATGCAAAGTGCAACAAGTGCAATCAAATAGGACATGAAGCTATCATTTGCAAGAATAAAGATCAACAACAAGGAGATGAAACACAAGTGGCAAATCAAGAAGAAGATGATCAGCTTTTCGTTGCAACTTGTTTCACGAGAACTTGTTTCACGAGTTCTAAAACAAGTGAAAACTGGCTCATTGATAGTGACTGTACTAATCATATGACACATTACAAAGAGTTCAAGGAATTGAAGAGCACCGAGTCCAAGAATGTCAGAATTGGGAATGGTGAATATATTGCACTCAAAGGAAAGGGCAATGTAGCCATTGCAAGCTGTTCAGGAACCAAGTTGATCACTAATGTTCTCTATGTACCAGATATTGATCAAAACTTGCTCAGTGTTGGTCAATTAATAGAAAAAGGATTCAAAGTGATGTTTATGGAGAAGGCTTGTGTGATAGAGGATGTTACAGGCCAAAGGATGTTTGAAGTTAAAATGGCAGGGAAGAGTTTTTCACTTAATCTAATGCAGGAGGAGCCGGAGGTTTTTGGCTCTTTTCCTAAAGAAATTTCTGTAAAACATGCCCACTCACTAGAATTTTCATTGATTAATGAGGGTAATGAAGACCATTTAGATGATCTTACGATAATGAAGGAAACACTTTGAGTTAAAGATGAAGAACTTCAGCAATTGGCCAAAGAATTACGTGCAAGAGATTCAACCATACGTGAGTTAGCAGACAAGTTAACTGAGACAGCTCAGGCTGCAGAAGTAGTTGCATCTGCAGCTCTTGCTATGGATGAAGAGAGGAGTCTTGCTTACACAGAAATTGAACGACTGACCAATGATTCAAATAAAAAAACTTATAGAAATCATTCTTAAGTTAAAAGAATCAGAAGAAAATGTTGCAGCATTTAGCAGAGATAGAGAGATCCTGTTCAAGCAGAGAGACTCTGCTTCTAAGCTCGCAAAAACTAGAGAACATGTTGTTTTATTAGAAGAAGTTGTAGTTCGAGTTGAAGAAAGCATCAGGGTTTCATAGGCAGATGTGGAAGCTCGATAAAAAGATGTTGTTGAAAAAACATTGTTCGCTGCAAAAGAAAAAGAGGATCTGTTAGCATTTGTGACTTCTTTGCAATCTCAAGTTCAAAGGCAACAAAGTTTCACAAAACAAGTGCTGGAAGAGAAACCCGAGTCAAGCTCAGGCTTCATTAAAACGGTGCCAATGACGAAACATGCGGACTTGGAAGACGATGTCAATAAAGCTTGCTTATGTGATTCAGAACTCATTCGAGTTTCTGGTTACATCATGCAATTGACTACCAATGGTGTTGATATTCATACCATTGTCATTTCTCATAATCTTGTGTTTCATAGGAACACTAAGCATTTGAACATCAAGTTATTTTTTCTAAGAGAAGTGAAGAAAAAAGAATTTGTGACTCTGATTTACTGCAAATCTGAAGATTAGTTTGCATATTTCCTTACAAAGTCACTTTTAACCAACAAGTTTGAGTTTGTAAGGCAGAAACTTGGTGTTCGCAGATCCTAAAGCAAGGAGTGTTGGAATACATGCTTAGGACTGCTTATTGAGTCTAGGTTTATTTGAATTTAGTTTGTTCCTTAATCATAGGAGTTAGTTGCTATTTTTTCTTGAATTTTGTTTCTTGTTACTTTCTTGGCTGATTTTAGGTCTTTTCTTGGAAATTTGTTATTAGCTCCAAATTTAAAATATTGTAAGGCTACACCAAAGGTGTGGTTCTGATTTCCCTTCAATCTACAGCAAACAATTTAAGTTTTTCTCTTCTTTCTCATTTTCAAGAAACCAACAGATAGTTCGTCTTCATGATGCACCCCAAACCATAATTTCAGATAAGAGTATGAAATTTTTTAAGTTACTTTTAGCGAATTATATAGGGTAAATTGGGTACAAATTTTCAATACAATAAGCAGCTCACACCAGACAGATTAATAAGTAGGAGGCGAATCTCTATTTGAGAAATATTCTTAGGCTTGGTGTTGGAAAGAATATCAAGCAGTGTGATTTAGTTCTTCCTTATGTCAAGTTCACTTATAATAGCTCCACTAGCCAGTCTATAGGTCATAGCTCTTTTGAGATTTTATAAGGACAAAACTCCTCCGCATCTTTGGATTTAGTGTTGATACTTCTAATTATTGAGATGAGTACTAATGCAAAGACTGGAATAAGAGAGATTTAATCCCTACATAATCACGTGAGGAACGAAATTACCAGGCAGAATATCAACTACTAGAAAGAGGCCAAGTCCAAAAAATCCTAGGTTTTTAAGGAGAACTAGTGTAATTCGTATTGGTAGAGAAGTTTTTTTGCAGGGCCATTTGGAAAGCTTACTCTAAAGCTGACAAACTATTCAGGGTTGCCAAGAAAATCAACGATAACACGTACAAGATCAATATGGTTGGTGATTGCAATATTTATAGTCCTTTCAATGCATCGACCTTTTGTTGTATTGGGAGGATCCAAATGTTTCCAATGAAGAAGGAGACACTTCTATTACTTGGGGAGATTGATGCGGGATGAGACTAGAATCTCCATCTAGAATTGGTCTAGGCCAATTTATTTTCTGGTTAGTTCATGTAATTACTATTCTTGAGCTAGCCGGTTCATTTTAGAACTAGCTGCTTTATTTAGATTATTATTCGCGTATCTTTTTTTTCCTAAGTATAAATATGGCGTTAAACTTGGTTTGGACATTTTCAGTTTTGGTTTATATATTTAGAGATTATGTTATCTGATTGTCTACCCTAAGGAGTGCTATCCTTTTTTCTCTTTGAAGCGGTATACCTGTAGCTTATTCGAGAATAGGTTGTTGTTCTCTCTTGGCTTTTGTGCCTCGTCGGTATCTTCTATTGTTGTGTTACTTGCTATCTTTCTCCAGGACAGCAGCCGAACACCTTGTACCCCTTCCAATCTCCATTAATTTCGCATATTCTCTTGCTTCTGTCATCCTACAGCATCGCCCCGCTAGATCCTTATACAATTTCTTGAATCCGAGAATGGCGTCAATGTGTTATGACTCTTCATGAGTAGAAACATTATTTTCATTCTTCTTTTGATGAATGAGCCTTAACATAGTTGCTATTAAAGTTTCCATTTTTTTATTTGGTTATTGTATTACTAGGTCTTTTTCTTGCAATGTTTACCTAACTAATTCAAGTTTTTGTAGGTCCCAGATGTCATGGATTTGGTACTAGCCGAGTTCCATAGAAGTTGCATTTACACTGTTCCGAAGCATCTACAAGCTTCAGATGTGAGTTATTAACCTTATTTCTATCTGGAAGCTGCTAACTTCAGTGCTTTTATTCATGTTGTTTCAGAAGATTTTACAGTTCATTTCAGGTAATCTATTTTATAGAAATGGTAATTTAATAATATTAGCTTCTTATGTCTAGCAATAAGTTTTTTTACCTGCATTTACAATGACATTTTTCACGTGATGAAGTAGAATATATTATAAGAACGCAGTTTAAAATTCTTTATGATTTATCCTTTTAGTACAGGACACAAGTTTTAAGCTTTGGTAAAAACATTACAAGCTCCGTGTCTTTGTTAAATTAGCAAACTTAATCTGATCAATAAAAAATTAAACATAATTAAGCTTCTGAACCCACTCTTCTTCAATGCTTTTCGTCAACTACTCTCTCATAAGAACTTTGTAATTTGATAATTAATGTGTTTGGCTAGCTATGGTTTTCTCATTTCAAATAAACCCAAATCAAATGTCTGCCTAGTATTGAAATTTGCTTCAGTTAACTTGTAAAATGTCATTTTTTTAGAACAGTGGCACTTAACTCTGCTGCTATGTGACGCATTGTGAAAAGCCCTACATTGACTTACGCTGGACCTTTTTTTTGTCGGAGCATGGCACTTATTTGATGCTGGCTAACGTAAATATTGATGTTTAAATCTACATCCAACTCTTGATATGATTCTTTGGATAGACTTGATGTCTTCATAATAAATCTTTCATACAATTGTTACAGGCAGCTTCACAAACCAAGGACTACTGGAAAATGTTAGGTTACCGAGAAGAAGATGGGAAGATTGAAAGCACCAATGAATTTTTAAATCGTGTCGAGTCTTGCATGAAATTATATGCTGCTTTGATTCAGGTTCTTTGTTATTATTCCATTTTACAGAAACTTCATTCATATTAGTTCCAGCTTCCATAAATGCTTCCTAATCATCCTATATCGCATTACAAGAGGCTTACCCTTGAAATACCATACAATACATTAGCTGCCATAAATGCTTACTCTTAAAATACAATGCATAACAAAGAGGCTTACTCTTTGTTATTATTCCATTTTACAAACCAAGGACTACTGGAAAATGTTAGGCTTACTTCATTCATATTAGTTCCAGCTGCCATAAATCTTAAATTATATGCTGCTAATTTTATTATTCCAATTTATAATATTATTTAGTAAATTAATTGGCAGACCGAGATTGTTGGCGTTAAAAATCCTTATGGCTTGAATTATGGGTGGGCATGGCTTGCAATGTTCCTCAATGCACTACCAGCTAATAGAACTACAGCTGTTGCCTTAGAAGCCTTTTTGAAGGTTAAACTTAGTCCTCCATTTCTTTTCTGATACGTATACTTTTTTCTCAAGACTCTTTTTTGAGGTTCCTATTGCTTTGAAGCATGTTTTTATGTCTTCAGATGGCAGGATTTTCACTGCTTAGAAAGTATAAATCTCAATTCATGAAAGTGCTAAATGTCATCTCTAGAAGATTTCTGCCTTCTCTTAAGCAACGGGGCGAAGCTGTGCACGACATTGTTATGAAATTGGAGCAATATTTGGATGATAAGATTTACCTACGCGAACCAGAAGGGCGACAGCTTCAAGCTTCGTCTTTGTCGAAGTTCTTTGAATGAACAGCTGAACATATTTTTTTGTAAGGCGTAAAGTTTAGGGTAGGAATATGGTTTTGTTTTGAGCCAAGGGGAATGAATTATGCAGTTGAGAGGCTCAAATTGAGGGCTACAAATAACAATCAATCTGTAAATTGTTTGATTTTATTTCATTTTCCTTCAGTTCAAATAAAGCCCTGATGCAGGCAATGCAAATCACTTGTGTTTTCTTTTGGGGTTTTTAGGGTTCGATGCAGATTGCATTTCTAGCGTTTGCACGTGTGACTAGTTGGTCTTGTTGAGTCCGGTTGTCTGCTTTAGATAAATAACGGGATAAATAACGGGAAAAGCTCTTTTTTTTTTTTTTTTCTTTTTTCTTTGTTTACTTTAAGATGTAAAACTTGGTATGTTTCAGAAAACAAGTAGTTTGTTCGATAGCATTTATTTGACGTTCTGTTTTAGTTATTTTGAGATTCTCACCATACAACGTAGATAACCAGAGGAACGCGGTTCATAATTTTTCTTTGAAGGAAAATGCTCATTTATCCCGTTCTTTGTGGAGAAGGGGCTGTTTTTTATCATCTTCTTGCAATCATCAATATAATACAAAATATGAAAAATGCATGTCATTAGTTTTTGGTTGGTTTTGGGGACAACTGTTCCGTTTGAAATATTTTGAATTCATTGAGTATAATTGTAGAGCAATGAATTAAATATTTAGGCTAGATTTCCGACCCTAGACAGGGTAGTGTTACTCAAAATCAAATGTATCTTCAAATTTAACTATAATCTCTTCGTGTCTGTTTAGGGCAGCTGCAACTTATCCATCTTATCTAGATAAGTTGTCTGACTGTTTGGTTTGTGCATTTAGAAAACAGTTGATTATGGATACATGACCATTCTGCCCGTATTGGATAAGCTGTTGATTCGTGCGTTTTGAAAACAGCTTATTTGAAGTTTTTTTAAATTAAATGAAAAATCTAGCACATAGAAGTTATAATGTTATCAACAAAACTGCAATGTCTATATATTAAATATTTTATAACAAATAAATCTCGTTCATAACCGTACAAAAAAGAAACACCTAACCTAATAATGAGTATCATGAAACTTAAAATAAAAGAAGAAATAACATATTAAACTTACAAGCAAAAAAATGACCTTATTCATTTTACAACCTGGAGCAAGTTTGTCTGGTTGGGAAACAGTTGAACTGTAAGCGACGTTTTCAAGTTGTGATACTGTCAAAACCCGAGCAACGTTGTCCGGTTGGGAAAACGTAGAATCAGACATACTTTCTGCCCACCTGAAGAACTTGCAGTCCTCCGGTCCTTGTGCCCACCGCATGCAACTGTATAACTGCCACCTGTAGCTATGTTGCTGACGTGAGTAATATTGACGGCAGTCCGCAGCAACATAGTACTCGCTCGGACTTTTCTAAAAACCTGTACCTCATCTTAGTATTATTATTTAAGAGAGAATAGACCAGTTAGAAAATTACATGAAAAAAAAACAATTGTACGATTTAAAAAAAAGATTAATAAAAAAAATACCCAATTCAATTTTGATATGAGAATATAAAAATGGAAGATTTATATGCATGCCAATCAATTTTTATATATTTACATATCTAACAGCAAATCATTTCTAAAGATAATATAAAGTTGAATTGAAACAATTTTTTAAAGGTTCAGGGAGGATTGAATAGCTCAATCATAAGACTGTAATGATTGTATTTTTATTGTGGCCCGACAGTGATGTTCTACTTTCAATATTTTTATTTAAAACTTCTTTGCCAATGCTTACCTTTGCTGCCAACAAAGATCCGGAAAGCATTTAAACTACCTGGAAAGTATATAAACAAAGCATTATGCATTATGTAAATATGTATTGCAAAATAATCAAATCATTCAGGAAAAAAACCAAATTAAAGGTGAGATAGAAGTCAGATAAATGCTAAAATCTAGCCGATAGAATATGTATGATGGAATAATACCTCATAAAAAGCCTTATGCTTGAAAAGAAATAGGTCACAGCACCAGATAACAAGGTAACTTTAGCTGAAGTAGATGGAAACGTTTCTGCTTATAATATAGTTTATTTCATAACTAGAACCATAAAAAAAAAAACAAGATGTTTTTTTCCTAATTGCTGAAGTTAACCAGGATTCATGGTATGAATTATCAAATCAGAAGTCAAACAATAAAAATCCTCCCTTGCAGATTAATGTATATTGGCATGAATGCTTCTGAGACGAAGGTAATACAAACTACATAGAAATGCACGAATCCACAGATATCTATATATATTGTACTAAAATGGAATTCAATGATCCATGCAACATTTTCTCTTGTTCAGTGTAGACAAATCTACAGGCAATAAAGGGGGAGAATTACATACATAGCCACCTAAAACATTAGCACCCATTTTACACATGACACGATCAAACCATTGAGAACTTGATAAAAATGAAAAATATGGGTTGGGTTTTTATAAGACCTTTGATATTTGAGTGAAAATTTGAAAAATGGATGAAAAGGGTGCTAGATTTGTAAATAGCTATGTTTTGGGTGCTATGTAAGTAATTGCCCCTAAAAATAGAGGTGAGAATGTAAGAGCAACAACAATGTAGCACAATGTCCTTGTTTCTTCAATCACTTAGAATGGCAAGAAAAAAGGAACATTTCATAGCAGCAAATTTTTAATGCCTGAACAAAAAATAAGGAATGAGAAGGAAAACCTTTATTCAAAACAATCATCAGCCCGCAAATTGATCCGTGGAACAAAATTATGGAAAAAAAAAAAAAAAATCTAATTTTCATGAAAAACACAAAAAAAGGCCCATCTACTACACACGCATCTGTCATCTCATCATGCGAGCTTCAAGAAACATAACATGGTTTTGGTAACAACAGAAAACCTCCAAATTCAGCAGCCTTAACGAAATCTGGACCTGAAATAATGGATGCTACTATTATTAGCTTCTATCACACTTTGCAAAAGTTTTATAATGGATGCTACTTCAACATGTATGGCCTGTGTGATATCCCATTTTGAGGCAAATAAAATGACTGCAGGCTGGGTATTCATCCATCACCACAATCCAATTACCAGCAGTTAGCTGTAGTAGCACCTAATTCTACGCAAAATCAGTTCGACTGTAAGCTTTCTAATTGTCTTTCGTGCCTCCAAAAATCACAAATTTCTGCATTAAACTCACATGAATGTAAATAATTTCAAACTTTTCGATAGGAATTAGCATCCCAAAACACGAAGTCTAAGGTTTCGGATCAAGCAGATCCTTCTTATTTCAAATTAAATCTACCTATTAGCCCACCAAAAAAATTGGCCAAGTCTTCAGCGATTGAGAATAGTGATCTGGAGCTCACAATTGCGCCACCTCAATCTCATCATAAACTAGCTAAGTTTTCGTCAGGCATTATTGGAGTTATCTGATTAGGTGCTTCCACCTTCCGCTAATTAATGTTAGAGATCTTCACAGGAATTAATCTCTAAATTATGTAAATGAAGAAATGTTTCATTTACAGAAAAAAAGATGTTATAAACTTGTTTATTAAAATTTATTTGCAGTATATAGAAGACGTTTAAAGCTTGTTTTAAACCTTTGTTGGCTTTGAAAATGCTGAGAAGAGTCTCCATCTGTTATAATTTTTTTCAGCAAATGAAATATAAGCTTTATAGTGGGTAAAATATGCACCTGAAATTATAGGCATCTGATGCCCCTATCATATGTAGACATGATGTGACAAGCCTTATAAGCTTAATGTGAAGCAAAAAGTTTCAGCTTCAAAGTTAGAAAAGTAAGCTTTAAACAAATTAAGCATCAACCCATGGATCATCCACAATAACGATAAAAGAGGAGGGTTTGATGAGCAGTGTCCAATAGCACTAATTAACTTCTATCGCACTACTCTAATCTAGGCATGAAAATTATATAACGTGACCGTTGGCCATGGAAAATGGAGAGCATAGCAGTTGCTACTTGAACGCGATTGCTCTATGAAAAAGCATATTCAACGACTTCCAGGAAAAAAGATACAAATAAATGTCATTGTTCTTCAATGTTTAAAAATATATACATTAAACTATAAAAATCCGCAATACAATTTTAAATGAAGTAAACATGCATTATAAACTTTAAAAATAACAATAGAAGAGCAATCAAGATCTAGCAATATCGTCCGCTAGCAGGTCTCGCAACTCAGTCATCTCACTTGCACTTTCACCTTCTTGACTGTGAGCATTCTCTGATTCTTCCTGTGGTATGGAACGTGCCACATGAATATGGTGGAATTTGGTGTTGGTCTTTTTTTGCAGAAGAAAAGTCCATATCTTATCTAGAGTGGTGGCGTCGGATGTAGTTGTGCAGTGTCATGATGGCCACAAATATCTACACTTGCTTAGGAAATGCGTAAGTGGTCATATAACATAATATCACTCACTTCTTCTTCCAAACCCGAATGATCTTTCAATCACACCACATAAGGAGGAGTGCCGTTTGTTGAACATTTCCTTTCTACCACGCACAATCTCGCTTGATACTTCAAAGTCGGGAATGTGATACTTTGTATCAGCAAAAGTTTTAAAATATCCCAACGTCAACCAGCTAATGTTTTCCTGCATGAATACATAATTTAGAAAGGATTAAAAAAAACTGAATATATTTGATATATTTACTACCTGGCACGCTTGGCTTTCTAGAATTCCTTTCGAAAGGGAATGATGGATCGGTGAGCAGGACAAGCACGGGGAGGGGAGAATATACCTGGCCCGCCTGGCTTTCTGTAGAGTGGACTTAGCTTTCGACAGATGAGACAGAGAGCGACACCGGTAAGCAGTTGTTGGATGTTGAAGAACGATTGTTCTATATACAGTTAAGATATAGATTTTGGGAAAAAAAATTTGCATTTTAAAATTTCAAGAATTATATAGGTACACGGTTTTCTTGAGACCAAATAATTCAAACATCATGAAGGGGCATAGGTTTGAAAAATGCTTTTAATGTTCACTCAAAAAAAAAAACAAACAAAAAAAAACAAAACAATTTTAACATAATCTTTAAATTTTATTAGAAGAAAGAAAAGGGTATTGGTCTATGATATATGGCAGAGATATAAGGACATGTGCGTAAGATATGAGTTAAAATGTGGAATGCTCACTCTTTCAACTAGACATTATGATTCATATATATTAAAAATAAAATATAATGCTGCACAATTCAAATTCTAATATTATAAAGATACACAATTCGTGATACTTAAGAAGGCAAAAAGATTATAATACATTTCATAAATCATGTAGTGGACA